AACACAACACACACACGACACACACACACACACACACACATATATATATATATATATATATATACGAACACGAACACACACACACACACGTGCATCAACTGCCAATGGTGACACCAGCGCATGCCACGTCCATCTTTTCCATTTATATTTCTCAGTATAACATCCTCACTCACAATGCTAATGCACACTGTAACATCCTCAGATATAATGTTAACACACACTGTAACATTTCAATTATAATGTTAATTCACACTGTAACATCCTTCCATTGTTACTGCAGGCGTTGAAGGAAAGCGGCGTTGTGTCTTCTGAGCGAGACAATCTCCATCACCAAATAGACCATGCACTGCTGGCCAAAAGCAAGGTACGTAAACCCTAAAATCCTAAAATCCTAAAACCCTAAGGGTTACACACCACACAGTCTACTGTCATTCATATTCCAAAAGCAAGGTACGTAAGCAATGGGTAACACACCACACAGTCAACTATCACTCATAGTTGTAGCAGTTGTGTTTATGTTGTATCGACTAAATCTGATTTAAACGGTCGCGACGTGTGTGAGCTATGTAGCATATCATGGCAAGTTAGAAGGACTAGCACACTGACTTAGACGGATAAATACACAGTTAACTACACTGTTAACTACACTGTTGACTACACTGTTGACTACACTGCTAGCTACACTGTTAACTACACTGTTAGCTACACTGTTAACTACACTGTTAACTACACTGGTAACTGCACTGTTAACTACACTGTTAACTACACTGTTAACTACACGGTTAACTGCACGGTTAGCTACACTGTTAACTACACTGTTAACTACACTGTTAACTACACTGTGAACTATACTGTTAACTACATTGTTAACTACACTGTTAACTACACTGTTAACTGTACTGTTAAATACACTGTTAACTACACTGTTAACTACACTGTTAACTGCACTGTTAAATACACTGTTAACTGCACTGTTAAATACACTGTTAAATACACTGTTAACTACACTGTTAACTACTCTGTTAACTACACTGTTAGGAGAATGACGAGAAGTTGTTGCAAGTGCTCCAGACCGCACGCGAAAGGGCTGTGCGTGTGTTCAAAGCGCATCTGCGCAACACTGACCGCGAAGTGCGAAGCCACGACACAATGCAACAGCTCAAGACAGAAGCCGCACACATGGCCGACAACAAGGTGTGTGGTATAAAACCCTAAAACCCTACATCGACAAGGTGTGTAGTGTAAAGCCCTACATCGACAACAAGGTGTGTCGTGTAAAACCCTACATCGACAACAAGGTGTGTGACAGGCCACGTGTGATGCGTAGTCATGAGCCAACTGACATCACATGAGACGACACGTGCACAGGAGAGTGCGCAGAGAAGGAGGGGAGCATACGCACACATCCATCCACGTGTGAGCAATGGGTGAGTATACGCACACATCCATCCACGTGTGAGCAATGGGTGAGTATACGCACACATCCATCCACGTGTGAGCAATGGATGAGTATACGAACACATCCATCCACATGTGTGCAATGGATGAGCATACGCACACATCCATCCACGCGTGTGCAATGCGACTCAGCGTCGTACGGTGATGTGGTGTGCTCTCACAGGGCGAACGCTGGGGAGGCGCTTATCAGCACAATCTACAAAAAGAAACATATACTATAAGTACTTGATTATGTATAGCAAGTGTGTATGTACATGGCTATATATAGCAGGTGTGTTCGTACATGGCCATATGTAGCAAGTCTGTATGTACATGTATATATATAGCAAGCGTGTACGTACATGTCTGTATATAGCAAGTGTGTATGTACATGGCTATATATAGCAAGTGTGTATGTACATGTCTATATATAGCAAGTGTGTATGTACATGTCTATGTATAGCAAGTGTGTATGTACATGTCTATATATAGCAAGTGTGTATGTACATGTCTATGTATAGCAAGTGTGTATGTACATGTCTATATATAACAAGTGTGAATATATAGCAAGTGTGTATGTACATGGCTATATATAGCAAGTGTGTATGTACATGTCTATACATAGCAAGTGTGTACGTACATGACCATATATAGCAAGTGTGTGTGTACATGTATATATATAGCAAGTGTGTACGTACATGTGTGTATATAGCAAGTATGTATGTACATGGCCTTATATAGCAAGTATGCATGTACATGGCCATATATAGCAAGTGTGTATGTACATGGCTATATATAGCAAGTGTGTATGTACGTGGCCATATATAGCTAGTGTGTGTGTATGTACATCGTATTTTGTTCTGCAGATACTGACTGTGTTGTGTGTATTCGCTCCTTCTCAGTTTGACGAGGTGGCTGCTGTGGCTAAGGCTGAGGTCATTTTCGGATCCTTTGCGGCGCAGATGCGTGAGCTGTTGTCTGTTGAGTGGGCCGCAGCTGAGGCTGAACAGGTATGTGAAGACCGGATGTCAAGGAGTAAGGGTATAGGGTTTAGGGTTTCAGGCGTCGTTATTTGTTTACATGCTATTGCTATATACCTGCAGATGTTGTTAGTTGTCTCGACCCTGCTTTCCAGGGTTTAGGGTTCAGGGTAAGGAATGGCCTGCCGTGTGTGTGGTGTATCTGAGGCCGTCTTTCGATGTGGCTTGAGGATAATTGCTGACGACTGCTGAGTGTTGTGTGGTTTGTAGGGCTGTTGTTTAATGCTGGTTGTCGTATGTCTAGTGTGTGTGTTGTGTGGTTTGTAGGGCAGTTGTTTAATGCTGGTTGTCGTATGTCTAGTGTGTGTGTTCTGTTTGAGCATTGAGTGTGTTGTTTGACTATTGTCGTTGTGTGCTACAGTTGTCGATGGATGTTGTTTTGAAGGCATACGTTGTGTGTTCTATAAACCATTCGTCGCTCAGATGAGCGTGTGGTTAGCGTGTGTTCTATAAACCATTCGTCGCTCAGATGAGATGTGGTTAGCGTGTGTTGTGCATTTGGTTGTTGTTGGTTGTTGTGACTTGTGTAGCCCTCTGCGTAGGATACGCGATGTACCTAAACCCTAAACCCTAAACCCTAAACCCTATAATAAAAAGCTGTCGATACGTATCTAAACCCTGCAACCCTAAACCCTAGTACTCTTGTATATGCCATCATGTGCTGACATTTCACTTGAAGGTGCGAGGCAGTCACTTTGAGTGCCTTTCAGTAATACGATTCCTATTGCACGTAATGCACCCCACCGCACTGGGGTATACAGGTGCAACTGGTCAATGTAAGGCTCACCCACGTGAGGGAGAAGCTGGTCAGCGACTTCAAGCAGTACGTCGATATGCTCATACTGCCCATGGAAGAGGACGAGTTTCATCGAGTGTGCGACAAAGAGCTTGCGAATGTACAGGTAGGGGATGAGCCTGTGTATACGATGCATGGGTGGACGTTACTTGTGTCAACGTGTTGAATTAGCTGAAAACGAAGACGTCTATGTAGATATAGTCACAAGCAGGCAGTCCCCTGCAGAGGCAAGCCAACGCGCAAGCGGATAGATAGGCTCATAGAACCTGGCCGACACTTAAACGTTGCTGAGAATGAGTCCATAAGTAGTCACCTTCGGAATTACTGCCAAAGGAAGTCCGACCTCCCCCCCCCTGCTTTATCTATACACACACACACACTCACTCACTCACACTCACACACACACACAACACT